TCAAATACCCACATTAGGGTTGAGCCACAACCCTAGCTAATGGGTCTAGCTACTCATGATAATAGAATAAAACTGATAAATAGATAAAGAAAACCCCATAAGATTTAATTACAAGCTAATACTTGAAGATTCAATGATAAAACTATGGAAATAATTACTCAAAATGGTCAAAAACTATTGTTCACGAGCGCAGCTCAAAGTTAGATTACAACTGATTACCTAAAAATGGGAAAGAAAGTATTTATACTAGGCCAAATTTTCTGGACAAAAATACCCCTGTGGGGGTAATGCGGACCACACAAAATCGAGTGCGGGCGCAGTGAGGCTTCTTGGCTTAAGATCTCTGCTCTCTGAACTTGGCAATGCACCGCGGCCGCGGTGGCTTCTATTGCGATCCGCACAAAAAGGACCACGGACCGCATTGGCAATAAATCTCCAAACTCCAAATCTTTGAACTCCATCATTGCGGACCACACAATATCGAGTGCGGCCGCGGTGAGGCCATTGCAGTCCGCAAAAAATGCTTTGCGGCCGCAATGCTTGAGTTTCCAAAATTTGCACTCTCTGAATCTCTTCACTGCGGACCGCACCAAATGGAATGCGGCCGCAGTGGATCTGTTGCACTGTGCCTGGACTTGTTCTTGGTACTTGTGCATGTTTCACCCCTTTTTGAGCTGATTTTGACTAATTGTCACCTTTTTGACCAAACTCTGCAAACAAGTACAACATGTAAGCCTTTGAGACTATTTTGTACACATTTTTAATCAAAACTCAAGTAAGAGTGTGCCACATAGGCATCATTTGGTATATATTAATGCCATGTGGAAGCTTACATAGGAGGAAGGCTAGCATTTGTGAGAAGATTCTAGAGAAACATGGACATTTCCTTAGGAGGACCCTAGATCCTTATGGATTTGCTAAGAAAATCCTTCTAGGTTTGAAGAGAGTTCTAGAGAAATCCCTTATCTTTTAAATATTAAGGACTTGTATAATAATTAATATTTACATACTAGCCCTTAGGAGACTAGTATATAAAAGGGGACCATTTATTTGTAATTCACCAAGAAAATAATTCAAGTTCCCTCTAATACAAAGCTTCCTTTAGCAATTCTCTTGTGTTCTTTCTAATATTCCCTTAGCGATCTTCAGTGTAGTAAGGCTGACTTGGCATAGCAAGAATGTGAGCAAGTTGTGGAAGATCGTGAGCGAGTTGTCAAGTGTCGCACATATATTTAGTTAAAGACTAAGGGCTCGACATTTGGCTCTTCTCTTGCTCTCTAGCTTGAATATAGAGTATTGCCAAGTAGGGCTCCAGATTTCTTTTGTTTCCCTGAGATAGTTTTTCTAGTTGATGATATAAAAATTACATAGCACATAAAAAATATAATTCGAAAGACGCCTGGATTATTGTCATTAGTGTCATCACACAGAAAGTTGGAGCCACCACTCAGCTGGTTTCTCATTTGACTTGGTAAAACATTTAATTTGTAATATAAGTAGTACAAGTTCTTTTCTCTTTTTAACTTTCCTTTCAAATAAGCAGCATGAAAATTTCTTCTGCTGATATTTGCTTCATATTTTATGTTTTCTACATATTGCTAAGTTTGGGTTCATGAACATAGTCCGTAAATAGATCAACAAGCCTTCCTACCGGGAAGGGTTCAATCACTAGGACAATATCAGTTACATTATATGCATTTTCAGCGGCGGACCCAGAATTTTGCACAAGCAGATTTAATTTTAAATGACTCAAATTGATAGTATAAGTGATATTGAACATGGCGAACAGAATTTGGTGGCAACTTTGTTAGTAATTTTTTTCTTCTTTTTTGTCTCTTTTCTTTATAGTGTGATATTAAAATTAAGTCATTTAAAAGTGAGTGCACGATATATTTTACAAATTTGGTATTATAAAAGCATAAAGACTATTTCCTCCTAATTTTTTTGAACAATTTAACTTTTTTTCACCAAACATTCTTATCTATTTAATTTAGCAGATTTTACTTTACAAGAAAATCATTTAACCAATTAAAAGAATGTACCAACTCCAAAAAATTAGACAGAATATTAAATCCTTTTGTGTATATAACTAAGAAGATATTATTTACAAATAGAGGACGATAAAAAGAGTTACAATCTTAACTAAATTAATACCAATAATTAAAGAAAGAGGCTTAATATACTAAACCAAATTTTTTAATATAAACAAATAACAAATTTCAACATAAACTAACAACAACAACAACAACAACATACCCAGTAAAATCTTACTAGTGAGGTTTGGGAGGGTAGAGTGTATGCAGACCTTACCCCTACCCCGGAAGAGTAGAGAGGCTCTTTCCGGGAGACCCTCGGCTCAACAGAAGAGATAATAATATTAGAAAAAAAATAAAAGAAAAGGTATGTAATAACAAAAGAAGCCAGAAAAGTAATAACAGCATCGTAAGAGACAACAAATAAGTGAAAGGGCAATAACACAATACTATGCAAAACAACAAAATAGTGTTAACACAACATAGACTGCTAATAGACCTAGACAAAACTCTATCAGACTAGCTACCCGGTACAAAGAGGGAGATACTCTCTACTACCCCCTAGCCTACAACCCTATGCTCGACCTCCACACATTCCTATCAAGCCATGTCCTCGGAAATATGAAGTCGCACCATGTCCTGCCTGATCACCTCGCCCCAATACTTCTTAGGCTGCCCTCTACCTCTTCTCGTGCCTGCCAAAGCTAACCACTCGTACCTCCTAACCGGGGCATCTATGGTTCTCCTCCACATGTGTCCGAACCATCTAAGCCTCACTTCCCGCATGTTGTCGTTCACGGGAGCAATGCCCACCCTCTCCTGAATATCTTCATTCCGTATCTTATCCAATTTAGTATGCCCGCACATCCATCTCAACATCCTCATTTCGGCTACTTTCATCTTCTGGATATGTGAATTCTTAGCTGGCCAACACTCAGTCCCATACAACATAGCCGGTCTAATTATAAATAATTTCATCAAATATACTTGCATGTTTAGCAAAATTTATGAGATAGAGAATTAAAAATTACTTTGTAGAAAGGTTTAATTTTTAAAGTAAAACAAAGTAGATCTGTATGAATTAAGTTAAAAATATGAAGTAAAATAGAGAAAAGACAAAATAGAATTGGTGGTTACTGGTTGATTGACCTGGCAAAGACACGGTCCACTGCACATTCTACATCGAAATACAAACAGAAAAGAAAAAATCACAGAATTTGAAAACAAGGGTGAGCGTGAGTCGAACACGCGACCTTCCTAAAGCTTCGAACCCGCATGACCATTTTTACAGAAGTAATGTTCAAATAATAAACAAGGGCTATAAAGATCTTTCAATAAAATACCAGTGTAATTTGTTTAACAAGCTCAACTGCTGGAAAGATCTGAATCCATATTTACAATCAGAGGTTCCAGACATGGAAGGTACTCGATATATCATGGAAAAAGCATTTTCTGCCATAATTATGGACTAAAATGGATTGGCACTCTTACTACTAATTTCATGACTATCACAATTCCCTTCTCCTCTTGACTACAGAGGAGATTGATTGGGAGGGAAAATCCAAGGAAAAGGTTTTCTTTAAAAGATGCAATGCTATTAAATATCCAGCTATTGTCCAAAACTTCAAGTCCTTAATTAGGTATAAGTCTGCATCGGAGGAAACATGCTTCCACTCTGTGGGCGGATTCATGATTTAAATTTAAGGGGTTCAACTTTTAAGATTTTTAGAATTGAACTCACTGTACTGTTAAAATTATGGTGTCAAATATAATATTTGTTGAGATTTTAGTAAGTTTTTATATTTAAATTCATACTTGGTGTTGAAAGTTATGGGTTCAGTCGTAGCCGAAAGGCTACATCCGCCCTTGCTGTGCTTATGTCAACACCCATTGTCTGAGAGATGCAATTTAGTAAGCGTATCAGCAGCTGCCCTGAAATAGAAATGACAAATGAGCCTTCAAGAACCATCAGCAGTTTTGCACCATATATTAGAAATAATCCTTACTTCACCTCAGATCAAAATCTAAATAAAGTTCTGTTACGTACTGCAAGATGTATTATAAACTCTTTATATGCTGCTATCTTTGTGAAATACTATACATCAAAGAAAATAAAACATCAACAAGCTTCAGAGTTTGTTGATTCAAACACCAGCAACAATAAGAAAACCACAACAAAGAGAGACAATAACAGTAACTTTACCTAAAATGTCATCATCCTAAAGTTTCTATCACAAGAAAATGAATACCAGCTCTTATTTGCATCACTTGAGGGACATTTTTCCGGAAATCAAACCTAAACAAGGTACTACATCATATGGTAGCCAAAAGTCATATTTAAAATTGTAGCATCCAACTAGTAACCTAGTGAAAAACTAGTTCTAGCTACTGATTAAGTATCTTATTTATGGTATACTTTTCGATGTGTTTGCTAAACTCTAGAAAGATTTTAAAAAACACCTTGACTGTTCCTGCTGAAAAGAAAGAGACACACCTATTACAGAAAATTCTTTTGTCTATTTTTATTAAGAATATAATGAAGTATGTCAGTCCTACTCAAACTCTTTCATATGGCATTTATCAAGAAAGCTGTTCCGCAAAATATTTTGCAACCCCTAGCAAGCAGTTCAAGACACTCGGAATCTGTCAGACCAATGAAGATTAGATGTAATCACACAACCTTATTATGAGCACAACCTCAAGTAAAGCATTTGTATGCCTCAAATACAACAGCTCCAGATTATCTGCTTAAACTAAACAGTAGGGAACTCTTTCTTCCAAGTAAACGCAAACAGAGCGAGAGAACCATGTTCCTATCATAGAATCTTGATGCTATTGACAAAGGAAGCAAAATACAGCATTTCAAGAGCCTAATTTTTTGAGAAAACACGTGGTTCGAGGATTTGCCATTCATAACAGTTCCAGGAAAACAAAAGTAGCAAGAAAAATCCAAGCACATATGCAATGTCTAGAGTGCAACAAACAATTCTTCTAAGAAACCAAGCAGCAATCATAATATTCGGTATGCCACATGTTCAAAATTACAGCTGCAGTAAATCAAAAGCTAAAATATAAGGTGACATTTCTAGTATGCCGCAACAAACCATCTTCCGGTAGGGTCATGCTAAGCAAACTCTTGGTAAACAACCGCAAAATTCGTTGATGATCTTTGGCTGTCAATCAATTTCTTAGCCAATCCTGATAAATGTCGGGACACACAGCTCTGTGAACAAATACCGCATTTTCTTCTCTTTGCTACAATAACAAACTTCTGTAAAGCCACTGCATTCTTTAGTAGACACTTCGAAAGTTCGAAAAGCTTACAAAAGTCCCCTTTAGACCACTTCTTCAAACAAAACCATAGGCAGCCGACAATCTTAGCATTCCTGAGACTTGGAAACACCGTGTTTGGAATCCAACTCAGCAAATTGATGTTATCTACTTCGGCGAAATAGCTTTGCTCAAGCAGGCAGGGGGGATCTTTACACTGGAACAAAGAATATAATCAGGATCCAAAGCAGGTCTACAGCCTAATGGGAGTATTCCGCAGAAGACAAAATAAATGAATCTCACAGTAGAACAATTCTCAAAACCCATGAATCTAGAACAATGCTATATATGCAAATGATTATAATAGCTAATACCTATCAGAAATACTTGTGCAGTACATAAACCAGCAAAAAGAGGTTCAGTTGTCAATGATCCTTTTCCTTTCCTGAGCCCATATACCAGATAGAAGCAACTCTCCTGACCATTTAATTTATTGTGGTATGGTGACAAAATATTCTTAATGATAATTAATGTTCTATGTGCCTTCTCCTTAAGAAACTCGGTCTTTGGAGGGAAGGGTGGGGGTATTTTTAAAACTTCAAAAACCGAATGGATGTAAAAGAAAAAAGAGCATAAATTGAGAGAAATTAAGACCTCAGTTTTGATGTGTATGTTGAGTGACTCCAAAAGAGGAGAGGTTTGCAAAAGGCTAGCTATTCCATACAGATTATATTCTCTTACAAGCCACTTTAGAGTTAAACATTTGCATTTCAATTCTGGAAGCATCACTCCTTCGAGTTGCAACATGAACACGACCTGGTGAAATAATCCCAAAGAAATTAGTAAAGGATAGAGAAAGAAGAAACAACAAAGAAACACTAATCCACAACAAAAGATAGTGCTATGACAAATCCCATCTAACCACTTTAGGGAACAACAGTGTGCAGAAGGCTAACTTTTAAAATAAAGAAATACCAACTTCAGAAAGTAGATAGGAAGAACATAAAAGGTCACAAAATGTGAAGACAAGATCCTTCTGTATACATTAAAAATTTCCCTTTCAATTATTCAACAAACAAAAAAATTCCACCAATGTTCATGTTTAAAAAAGTTCATGATTGTATGATATTCTGGAGGCTCTTCTCTTTCTTAGGTTTACATCCTGAAATTCTTTGCTAAAAAGCAAATAGAGAACAAGGTTTTTTGACATAGAAACAAACCTCTGCAATCCAACTTCCAATTATTAGCTCAGTCGCACAACTCAACTTTTGAAAGTAGTCCAGAACAAGGTTTCTGAAAACTTGATGTTGATCACGGCAACTGTCTTCCTCCCAGCCGTCAGTGATACAGCTAACGCTAAAACTGAGGTTGGCAGTAACCAAAGAGGAGACATTTACTAGCCTACACTTGAGATATCCAAGATCTCCTGAAATCTCAAAATGTTGAATGTGTGGGGCAATAATTTCCAAAGAATCATATCTTCCGCCATGAGAACTGGAATAGTCTGCCAATATTAGTCTCTTTAAATTGGACGAAGTAATTTCAAGACGACGAAATCCCCAAAAGTAAGAAAACCCCAGAGTTTCCAAAGCGGGACAACCTGACAGTAAGTTCACAATATCGTCATCATCTAACCCTATTAGATCCAGCTTTAGGCTCTTTAGAGAGTTCCAAGCTATGACCAGTCCTTCATCAAACACCCATGCGCTTAACTCCAATGACGAACAAGTGTAGATAGATAGAGGCAATTCGTAAGTGACACCTTCACCAACTGAATACAATACAAGATCTTCCACTTTGTTTTCCACAGCATAACTCAGCCATTGGCTGATTTTCGAATCAAAATCCCATTCAGATTGAGATAAATAGAGTTGGAACTGCTATGCTGCACTAAGGTGTCTTTTTGATTTACTTAACAAGTGTGTAGATAGACAACTTGAAGGGGCCTACATTATATCTTGTGATGTCAAAATTAAGCAATTGCCTTAATTTATCTTCTCTTTTAATGAAACAGAACTTTTAAATAGAGCTGTCAAAATGAGCTCAATACGTGAAATGAAAAATGTAAATTTGGCCAAAAAATTGAAGTTGTTATAAATAGAATTGTATTTATAGTGAATGTCTATATTTTAGAGATATTTTAGGGATTAATACTTGGTGGCTAAGTTACTCTTTCCCTATAAATAGAGGGGATCTATTCCATTATAATTCATCCCAAAATTAATAAGAATTCTCTCTCTTTTCTCTGCATTATTGTTTTTCTTCTTTTGTTGTTTTATTTTACGTTATCAGCATGAGACTCTACCGTCTCAAGAAGCTCTATGAGAAGACTAAGAGGGTGTTTGGCTAAGCTTATAAGCTGGTCAAATTGGCTTATAAGCACTTTTTGGCTTATCTACGCGTTTGGTAAAATTAAAAGTGCTTATAAGTTAAGGGCTTATAAGCCAAAAATAAGCTAAAAGCCATAAGTTGGTCTACCCCAACTTATCAAATTTCAGCTTATAAGCACTTTAGGTTTGACCAAAATATTTACTATTCTATCCCTAAAATACTTCTTTTTAAATCAAAACTCTTCGTATACCCAATTCTTGAGCTGCTTATTATTAATTTCAGCACTTTTATCCAAACACGTAACTGCTTATTTTTAAATCAGCTTCAGTACTTAAAAGTGTTTTTCAGCACCTAATACTTATCAGCTACTCTAAATCAGCTAAGCCAAACGGGCTCTAAGTGAAATTTCGGGCAAGAACTATATGAAATGGGTGTTGAATGCTGAAATCTATTTAGATGCAATGGGTCTTGGAGACGCCATTAAAGACAAAAATAAAGCATCTACTCAAGACTGTGCTAAGGCCTTAATTTTCTTGCGTCATCACCTTGATGAAGGGTTGAAAATAAAATATCTCATGGTCAAAGATCCACTTGTTTTGTGGAGAATGACTTAAGGGAAAGATATGACAACTTAAAGGTTTTTGGTCGGTTTGGTTTGGTTTTTGGCTTGGTTCAGTTTTTCGGGTTTTTATGAACACCCCTAATTACTTCAACATTGTTTGCTCAACTCCAGAAAAAACACACATCTCGACTGTTCCTGGTGAAAATAAATGGAGTCCAGAACCAAAATGTGGTCCTTTTGGACCCAAAGAACAAAATTGTCTGGAAAAAAAATATAGTGACCAAAATATGTATAACGTCTTTTTAAAAGACGTTATACCTTAACGGCCGTTTGGCCAGTTAAGGTATAGTGTCTTTTAAAAAGACGCTATATATATATATAGACACACACACACACACACCCACAAATAATTCTTCTGGGCTTAAACTAACATAACAATAATTCAACTGGGTATAGCGTCTTAAGCTAAGACGCTATACCTCAGATAATTGAACCCCCGGACTGGTTTTTGCCTTATTTAAGGACGTAAAGGATTTTGTAAAATCCATTCAGAAATATTCTCAAGTCTTGTGAAATTTTTCTTTGTTAAGTTGTTTTGCATTTTGTCATAACGTCTGAAGAGCGAAGAATTGAGGTTTCACAAGATTAGGGGAGGGGGGGTCGTGGTGGCGAATAACTCAGTAAGCTATAGTTTATCTCCACAGTCTCATGTTAAGTTGCCGCTTACATATAGCGTCTTTTTAAAAGACAATATACTTAACTGGCCAAACGGCCGTTAAGGTATAAGATCTTTTAAAAAGACGTTGTACATATTTTGATCACTATATTTTTTGTTCCACATATTTTTTTTCTTTGAGTCCAAAAGAACCATATTTTGGTTCCGGAAGTCACCTATAACAAAGATGTCGTGTCTATTTATTGTAAGAAATACAAATACAATAAAGAGTATCAGTCCTCAAACTCTTACACATTCCCTAAATTTGTCTGAGATATGAAGATTCGTGAAAATCAAGCAATTAGATGTAATCAAACAGTCCTATTACTACTTCTAAAATCGCCATTTTTGCTGGAATTGAGTGAAGCCATGGTTTTTCAAGGGAGAGAGTTCCGAGAATTTCTTAAATTTTGGGGGTTTCCCCCATTTTTCATCCCTATTCCCTACTTTTAGTTTTTGGAGGGAAACTAGCTCAATATCCTAGATTCGAATGGCATAGTACTTATGAACGAGAAATAAAATTTCCCAAATACTCTTAGCCTGTTTGGCCAAGCTTCTTTTTGGCCAAAAGTGCTTTTTTTGGCCAAAAGCACTTTTGGCCGAAAATTGAAGTGTTTGGCCAAACTTTTGGAAGGAAAAAAAGTGCTTTTGAGGAGAAGCAGAAAAAAGTAGCTTCTCTCCAAAAGCACTTTTTTGAGAAGCACTTTTGAGAAAAATACACTTAAAAACAGTTTTTTAAAGCTTGGTCAAACACTAATTGCTGTTCAGAAGTGCTTTTCAAACTAATTAGCCAAACACAAACTGCTTCTCACCAAAAGTACTTTTGAGAAAAGCACTTTTGAAAAAAAGCACTTCTCAAAATAAGCTGATTTTTGCAGCTTGGCCAAACGGGTTAAGACTGTTTGGACAATATGTAATTGAAGTTGAAAAAAGTATATATTCAAATTTAAAATTAAAAAAAAAATATTTCAAAGTTCAAATTGTGTTTGGATATAAATTTTACTTGAAAAAAATTGATGTTTTATAGTGAACTTTATGATCTCACTTAGAAACATTCAATAATCACTTTTGCAGCTTCAAATTCTTTATTTTAAGTTGAAGTTAACATAATAATAAAATTAAGAAAAACAAAATTTCATTTGCAGATTTCATTATTTGTAAATAATATGTATACCTAAATGATATTACGCAATCGTGCTGTATAAACAATGAAGAATTATTAAAAAGTTACTTTTTTAAGTCATAATTTAGAGGGCGGAGATTCATTGTCTATATCTTGGCATAGAATTTGAACTATTATTGAAGTTAATCCGGTTACTCAAGGTTTGAATGTTTTCTTAACAACGTTGTGCCCAAATTGCACTCACTGTTATTGTCACGTTTTTTTTCTCACTCGGTGTTCAGCATCGTGTTGGGGATCGATTAATTTAGGTTCGTGTTCAAAATTTTACTTTCGAGGTAAAGCATTTTCTACCAAAAAGTTATTATTCGAAAAAATTCGAATCTGAAATATCTACGCCTAAGAATAAGGAGGTATTATCATCCCACCATAACTTTTGCGGGCCGGGTGCTAGTACTGTCATCACATACACAAGAAGAAACTTAGCAGAAATACTACTGAATCTTAATCATCCAGATCTCGCACATTAAGTGCGTTTATTTTTATAGTCTGAATCTTAATTATTCATACCTTAATCATTAAGTGTGCTTGTTTTTTAATTTTACAATCACTTAATGGGTCTGAATACGTCCGTATGATTCAGATCTATAACTGAGACCTAATTTCATTAAGATGCTATCATACATATTCATTATTAACTACCGCCACTGCTTACCATTATCAACTACTACCATGTCGCCACCACCACCACCATACTCAACCACTACCACCACCATACCACTATCATCCTCGATCTTAGCCGCCACCATTATCGACTATTACCACCCACCACCTCCACCACTATCATTCTCAACCACAATCAACACTCATCCACCTCAACTACCACAATTGACCACCCCATCACCATCAACAACCACAGTACGCACTACCCATCATTATACCCTACCACCACCTACCCCCACCTTCCTCAACCACAACTACCATCACCACCTGCCATTATTAACTATCACCACTCATCACCACCATCATCAATCATAATCGCCACCATTACCAATCACCACGAGCTACTTCCCTGAACCACCACCGTTAACCAAAACTACCACCAACCACCATCTCTAGTCGACATTCACCCGTTAGCCATCACCACTAACAACTATCATATTTTTTAAAATTATTTATTTTATTGATAGAATAATACATTAATTAGTATTTTATTTGAATTTTATGTTTATTAAATTCAAATAAAGATTATTTATACATTCAGATGTTAAAAATCAAACAGTCTTAATCATTTAGTATTCAGAACTTAATACACATCTTGATATTCAGATGTGTATTCAGATTCAGATGTCTTAATCTTGATACACATCTTGATATTCAGCTGTATATTCAGATTCAGACATCTTAATCTTAAAAAAATAAATGAGGCCCGAAAGTAAAGTAGCAATTCCTATATAGTGGCACAAGGTCAACTTTAGGCCAAATATACTTATTTGGATAGAGTTTTTCTTTTTGAGAATTATTGGATAGAGTTATGAACATTAACAAAGTCCATAATTTAAGAGAGGAAGCTGATCTTGTATATATATACAGTGGTCGACCTTACATCATAATTTTGTGATGATTAAATTAGGCAATTGCCTCAATTCATTTTCTCGCGTTTCTCAAAAAAAATTTGGAATATTTGTATACGGTCAAAATCAGGGAGCCCGATTTCGAGGTCATAAATTGGGTTATGAGTCCGAGTCCGGGCAACTCGAAATAGAAGTCAGATCCAGTCGAGGGACACATACCTCGAGGAAGCTGATCGAAGGCCTAACATGACCTACATCGAGGGCAGCACAATCTCGAAGTCAATCAAGAAAGAGCGGAAATTTCTCAAGGACACGTGGACCAGGGGATAAATTAAAAGATAAGATTTGTACAAAACGGTACAGGTCCGTACTAGGCTGCTATACACCTGTACCAATAGAATTTTTTACTACTATTAGGAATGTACTATATTGGGATATCCTCCTGCTATATAAAAGGGACCTCAATCATTTTGTAATGACATCTGATATTATTCACTGCAATAGAACATTCTGCTCTGCCTTTCTTGTTTAACATGCTCAACAATTATTCTTCAGCTTTATTGTCTTTACTTTATTGTTCTTAGCTGACCTCGAGGTCCCTGGGATAACCGAGCTCGAGGCCCTTATTGCTCCAACAACACATATTTGGTTCATCTTTCCTTCTTACTTAAGCTTAATATTACTTGTATAATCACTAGTATTAGAATATATCACATATCTTTAAACCACAAATCATCATTAATTGTTACTCATCTTTTTCGAGGTAAACAGTTTGGCACCCATCATGGGGCTAAAGATAATAGTGATTATTTTAGTGCTAGTTTTCTGATATCACACGTTATTCTTCACACTTTTTCTTGTCAAAGATTTTTTTATTTTAGGCCGGAATATGTCTAGCACACAAAACGCACCTGCTCATGATAGTGAGGGACTCAGAGAAAATAATGGTATCGGGCTTGGTGTACCACCCATAAACCCTGAGGGAGTGCCAAATGTGAAGCCAGTTGATATCAGTTCGCACAACGCTCTAAACACGGACGCAGGCACAGACCCCGTGAGGAATGCGCACAGGGAAGCCAGAGCCGAAGGCCAGGAAACGCGAGGATGGAAGAAGGGAGAGTCATCCTCCAAGTAATATTCGAGATGCTGCAAGCTCAGCAAGTGGACATTGCTCAACTTCAGAGTCAAAACAGAACTCCAAACACCGCCGAACCAGTGGACGCCCGGCATACGGAGCCTGCGCCTGAAAGGCCCGATGAAAGTGGCTCGGGGACTGATCCCGCTATTATGAAAATGCTCGAAGGACTGACCAAAAGAATCGAGTCCGGAGAAAAGAAAATTGAAGGAAATGACAAAAAGTCGAGACATACAAATCAAGAGTCGACCAGATACCAGGAGCACCTCCAATTTTGAAAGGACTGGATTCAAAAAAGTTCATACAAAAACCTTTCCTCCCAAGTGCGGCTCCGATGCCCATTCCCAAGAAGTTTTGCATGCCCGATATACCGAAATACAACGGAACAGTTGACCTTAATGAGCATATTACTTCATACACTTGTGGAATCAAAGGAAATGACTTGAATGATGACGAAATCGAGTCAATATTGTTGAAAATGTTCGGGGAAACACTATCAAAAGGAGCTATGATCTGGTATCACAACTTAGCTCCTAACTCCATTGACTCATTCGCTATGTTGGCGGATGCCTTTGTGAAAGCACACGCTGGGGCCATAAAGGTGGCCACAAGAAAATCGGATGTCTTCAAAATAAAACAAAGGGACAAAGAGATGCTGAGGGAGTTCATGTCCCGATTTCAGATGAAAATAGTGGAATTACCGCTAGTCTCCGATGACTGGGCAGTTGAGGTCTTTATGTAAGGTCTGAATGAAAGAAACTCTATTGCATCTCAACAACTAAAGCAGAACTTGATTGAATATCCAGCCGTAACATGGTCGGATGTGCACAATCGCTATCAGTCAAAAATTAGGGTCGAGGACGACCAGTTGGGAGCCCCCTCGGGCTCAGTTCATCCTAACAGGTTCGCAGCCAAGCCCCCGAGGGACATAGACCGGGGATCAAGATTCAACAAAGAACGGTATCAACCATATGCAGATTGAAGAAACAACGGCCCGAGCTATAATACCTTTTGGAGCGATCGAAGAAGTGACCTAGGTCAAGGTTCTCGGGGACTCATAAGCAAGAATGGGTTCGATAAACATGCCGACCCCGCCGAGGCTCCCCAATTATTAGAGTACAATTTCAGCATAGATGCATCAGGGATTGTCTCGGCTATTGGAATAATCAAGGATACTAAGTGGCTCAGGCCAATACAGACCGATCCCTCCCAAAGGAACCCGAACTTGATGTGCAAGTATCATGCCATGCATGGTCATAGAACGGAAGATTGCAGGCAGCTAAGGGAGGAAGTGGCTAGGTTATTCAATGAGGGCCACCTTCGAGAATTCCTAAGTGACCGGGCTAAGATTCACTTCAGGGAGAGGGATGCAAGCAGAAAGAATGAACCTGAAGAACCTCAAGATGTCATCCACATGATCATCGGTGGAGTCGACGTCCCACAGGGACCAATATTCAAATGTACCAAAGTATCCATCACAAGGGAGAAACGGATTTGGGATTACTTGCCCGAAGACACCCTCACATTCAGCGAGGAAGATATTGAGGCTTTATCTCAACCTCACAACGATGCACTGGTAATTTCTATCCTTTTAAATAAAGTTCAAGTTAAACGTGTTCTTGTGGATCTAGGTAGTTCGGCAAATATAATCAGGCCAAGGGTCGTGGAGCAGCTCGGGCTGCTCGATCAGATCATATCGACATCTCGGGTCTTGAATGGCTTTAACATGGCAAGTGAAACAATGAAGGAAGAAATCATCCTTGCAGTTAACGTGGCCGGAACCATACAAGACACCAAATTTCATGTCATCGAAGGTGACATGAGGTATAATGCTTTGCTCGGAAGGCCGTGGATCCACAACATGAGGGCGGTGCCATCGACTCTTCATCAGATGATGAAGTTCCTAATGAAGGATGGCGTGAAACAGTATATGGAGAGCAGCATGCAGCTAAGTGGCACCGGTATCAGCACCGTCCACGTCGGAAAAATCGAAGGACGAACAGGTGGCCAAATAGCAATTACAGCCCGTTTCCTCGGTTGAGCCCGAGGGACAAGTGTTCGATGAACAGGTGGCTAGGGACGAAGAGGAAGATTCCCTTATCCCCCTAACCTTCATTGCCCTCGAGGAATCAGATTCGATGAAATCCACGATCGAAGAACTCGAGCAGGTCATATTAGTCGAGCATCTTCCAGAACGAAAGGTACACCTAGGGACGGGGTTAACCCCCGAACTCAGGAAAAAGCTCATTCAGTTTCTCATCGATTATATTGATTGCTTCGCTTGGTCCCACTTAGATATGACAAGGATTCCACCGGAGATAACTACCCATCGACTGAGTGTCGATCCCAGATTTAAACCGGTAAAGCAAAAGAGGAGACCTCAGTCTGAGGTAAAACATGCATTCATCAAAGAAGAGGTAACCAAACTTCTCAAAATAGGATCTATCAAGGAAGTAAAATATCCAGAATGGCTAGCTAACGTAGTGGTAGTCCCTAAAAAGGGGAATAAACTTAGAATGTGTGTAGATTACAAAGTTTTGAACAAAGCACGACCTAAAAATTCTTTCCCATTGCCCAACATTGATTGTTTGATCGATGCTACAACCGGCCATGAGATCCTTACCTTTCTCGACGCCTACTCTGGGTACAACCGAATTAAAATGACTCCGGAGGACCGAGAGAAAACTTCATTCATCACCAAGTATGGAATGTATTGTTATAATGTAATGCCCTTCGGGCTAAAAAATGCAGGAGCCACATATCAATGTCTAGTTAATAAGATGTTAGAACATCAAAAAGGAAAATCCATGGAAGTTTATATTGATGATATGCTAGTTAAGTCCCTGCGCGCAGAGGACCATTTGACCCATTTGCAGGTAACATTCGACATCCTTAGAAAGTACAACATGAAGCTCAACCCCGAGAAATGTGCTTTTGGGGTTGGCTCGGGCAAGTTCCTAGGCTTCATGGTTCGAACATAGGTATCGAGATCAACCCCGATAAAATCAAAGCCATCGAGGAAATCACTGTGGTAAACAATGTGAAAGCCGTGCAACGGCTGATCGGACGGATAGCTGCCCTAGGTCGATTTATCTCGAGG